TCCTTCAGTAACAGCACATGAAATGAGAGAGAGAGAGAGAGGAGAGGGAATGAACAGACACACACATCCGGATGAAGTCATCACCTTGCAACTCTCACAAGGCCAGCCACTGCTGTAAATCATTGATTGGGTCCTGTGTGGCCAACCTAGGTGATGGAAACCAGCTGTAAAAAGAGCTCCCAAAAGTCAATGAATCAAAGTTTCTTCAGATCAGCTGATGTGTCATTAAGGCCCGGATTCAGCTAAATCAGTGAGATTTAAGCATGTGCTTTGCTGAATCGACCTACATAATCCCTAGAGAAAGTCAAGGGGTGAACTCCTGGCTCTGTTGAAACAAATAGCAAAACTCTCAGCAACTTCAGCAGGGGCCAAGATTTCCCCATGGAATCCAGAGTCCAGAGCACAAAGGAACCCCTCAGATCTATCCTGGATCTACAGACACCAATTCACTCTGCTGCCTTGGGCATAATGAACTATCTGCTTCCAATTGCCTGCTGTCAGACAGGGAAAAGAACCCCTCCTACCCTGCCACAGAGGGTGCTGAGATGGTTCGTTCCTCTGCGTTTTTAAGGCAGCTTGCAGACTAAAAGCGTTACATGTTATTATCAATGCACTAACGGGCCAGATCACTGGCAGGCTCCGGCTGCTTTGAACTGCTTTAGAGACACAACGCAGCTCTAGAAACCTGGCTTAACTGCCCACTTAAACCTGCTTTGTGCAGGGAGAACATGCCAGTGAAGCTAGCCAATTACTGAAATTTCCTATGGGCTGCAGCCCCAGTGGGGTCTGCTGCCTCCAACCCAAGCTCTGTAGCAAGGCACGGTATAGATTGCACATTGACAGTGAGTTATGGCTCGCGTGACAAGATCGGAGCAGAGGGCCTGCCATGTCTGAGCCTCAGGATATACACAACACCCTGCCCGCCCAAAGAGTGCCTTCCACACGCACACTGCTATTTCTAGTGCTGCAGCATCTCATCCCCTCAGCTCAGGTGTACAGACTCCCAGCTGTGGGAGCCTTTCCCCAGGTCAAGGAGACTCGCTGGCAGCAGGAAAAGGCTCTGGCTGGGGGGAGTCAGCAGGGAAAGGCTGTGGTAGTGGGGAAAGGCACAGGCAGTGGGGAAAGGTTCTGGCAGCGAGAAGGCAGCAGGGCATGGATCTCCGCTGCCGGAGCCTTTCCCTGTGACACACCGCTAACTGCAGTGACAAGGGTGATACTCCCTGTTGTCACTGCGGCCTGTAAGGCCGTGCTTTACATGTCACCAAAAGTGCAGAGAGTGTCAGTGGCAAATTCTGGCTCAGACGTTGGTGCAACCTCTCAATGCCCCTATGACGTAGTGGGGGGCTGTCTACTCTAGTGGCCCGGGGCCCACTCTGCTGGGCATTCACTGGTTGCTGTGGGTGACCCCTACTGGCCTCTGTCTGTAAGCACTGCCCAGCAGGGGGTTGCCCCTGAGCCCCAGCCACAGACAATGACCAGCCAAGGTTTCTCACCTAACCATGAGAAGGGGTTTAAACAAAGGAAGGGGTGTGGCTTCCGGGGGGGGGGGGAGATGTGTGTTCTGTGGTTTTTGAGAAGGGGCAGTCTGGCTTGGAAAACATGAAGAGGATAGATTAAGCCGAATGCTGGTGGTTCAGGGCGTGTGTACCCCAACCCCAAGGGGTCTAAGGCTGCCTGCCCTTACTCCGATGTCCACATCAAACCCGGGCTGTGCTGTGTCTCCGAGAAGCAATAAACCCTCTCTATTCTACTGGCTGGTGGAGTCACATCTTGCTGCATACGGGGGTGCAGGCTTGGGGGGGTCCCTGACGCGCCATCACAGCCCCTTATAACGGGTTGGACCAAAACGGCACTAACGAGGCCTCAGCAAGCTCTTGCTACTGTCAGGTGCCTTTGCCTCACATTCCACTCTTTATCCCACCACCATCGGTGAGCGAGGGAAGGAAAATAAGAACTGACCGATGACTACAGCAGAGATGCTTTGTCTTCATCGCCCCAGAGAAGGTGTTAGCCTGCCTTTGCTAACTGAGACCAGATGAAGCAAGCACCCCTTAGTGCCCAAAAACTGTAGGGGTTCATTAGAGGCAGGGACCACACCAAAGTGCTCTTGAATCTGCATTCCCATCCTGCAGGCTGCAGTGGCCCCTCTGGAAAAGGCAGGCATGTAGCACTCTTGCCAAATGTCAGCTAAAAAGCTACAGCCAAAACACCAGAAGAACAAGGAGATAAATTTCTTCCTTTATCTTAAATTCAGTTGGATTAATTAGCTGTGCAGCTTAAGTTTCCTTTCCAGCTACTGGCATCGAACAGAAAAGGGGGAATGCAGGCGCAGGAATAAAGCGAATCCAGGGCTATTGTATTACCAGCATTGATGCTGCTTTTTAGCACAGCCAGCTCTCCCTTTTTCTACCATACTTCACTGCCACTATAGCACACAGTGACACTCAGTGGCCTGCCACCCAGCCCACAGCACCAGTTTAGACCCTTGCCAGACTCTTGCTCTGAGATGTGCTGTGCTACTCTGGCAGGCCCCCAATCGGGTTTGTGCACGACAGCGGGGGCGCTGCTCTACATGCCTTTCTTGCGCATTCAGGCACACTCCAGACAAGTTCATCATTAGGAGACAAGAGTCTGCTGTCATTTATATCCGTGTAAAGCTGGAGTAACTCTACTGCCCATACAGGGGTGGCTCCAACCTTTTGAAGGCGTAGAAGAGAGACCAGGATTTGCCTGAAGGAAAGGAGGGCAGGAGTAAAAGCCTTGTTCTGTTTCAGCGCAGAAGGCAGCAACCTGCAGCATCTCTCTCAAACCTGGCAAGATGCCATCTGCACTGGAGAACAGAGTGGTGCTTTGGCTGAGTCAATGCTGCTACAAGCAGTTCCCCCCACAGGGCTGTGTCTCTAGAGGGACCTAAAATACCTCCCTAAGATACAGATAGAGACATAATCAAAAAAGAAATCCCATGGCCTCTCCAACCAGCCTTTCTCCAGATGATGGAAGACGTTCAGGAGAGCACAGATGGAAAGGAGACTGACAGAGAACCCAAGTACCTGCAGGGACATCTGTGTGTTTGTGTGTGCTGTGTGCAGGTGCTACAACTGCAAAAACTGATTGGATCGCTCGATAAGAGCAAAGGACATTTACAGAGCCCAGTCAGTCCTAGTACTGAACAGACCTTGCCATGCTAGCTGGGTCCCACTGCGAAAGTAAGCAGCATCGATCCTAGAGACCAAGTCACGGCTGTCTAAGCCACATCCTAGTTTTAAATGACCCCAGTGATGGAACAACCCTCTAATGGCTGGGGAATGGACCGGGCACATTAGCCACTGATCTTTTATTTCACTTTAGGACTCTTATAATATCATGAATGGTGTGGAACAAAAAACCAAAGCAGTGTTATTTACCCTTTCCTACCACGCAGAAGCCAAGGCTTACCCAACGAAAGTGAACGACAGTGGGTTTAACACAACGAGAGGAAGTACTTTCCCATACACTGAACTTGTTGCTGGGGAGGGTGTGAAGTCCACAAGTAGAACTGGGCTCAGAAACAGAACTAGGGACATTTGTGGAGGATTGGCCAAGATGGTCAGAGACACAAGCCCATGCTTGGGATGACCCTAACCGCTGCCTTCCCGAAGCCAGGAGGGGAAGATGGAAGTGAATCACCCCAACTACCCTGTTCTGTACACCTCCTCTGTAGCTCTGGAACTGTCCTGTTGGAGACAGGATACTGGTCTCACCCCGCATGGCAGGCCTTACATTCACCGCTCTCCCCCTTACTGCTCATTTTGCTCTTCTCACTGATGGAGTTATAGGGTGACCTGAAAATGAACAAGGGATTCAACCACTGACTTGGCTGCTTCTTCATTCCTCCATGCACAATGCCCTGAATGCATGGCGTCCCCCCCCAGACTCGTCTATATGGCTGCTGCCCTCTCCTCTGCCCCTGCACCAAAGACAGCTAGCGAGGCAGTTGGGGAAAGCAGAGGGTCTTCATTTGCATGGTATATAAAAGCTAGGCTTTTCAAAGGAGCCCAGGGACATTAGAGACCTAGCTCGAAGGGAGACCCATGTGCATTATAGGGATTTGAAAGGTTAACCAGTGGGGGCTAGAGCAGCTTCCCACCCGCTATGGGCACGGGGCTGCTCCAGTCCCACGGGGTGTGGCGTGCACAGGTGTGCTCCAGGCATCTGAAGAAGTCCCTGTCCACGGCAGGCCCAGGTGCTCTGGATGCCCCCGTCCATGGCAGACTGCAGACAGGGATTGCTACAGACATCCAGAGCAGCCTGCCCCCCAATGAAGTGGTAACTTCATGTTTAACCAGTTGACCAACTACACAGGATTTTACATCCCTAGTGCATTAGCTCTCAATAGGCGCCCCCTCTAAGAGATGAGTAAAACGCTATTTCTAACTGCCAGCCCTACAAACTCAACCTGGAACCTAAGGGCTAAGCTAAAGCACGGTGCACCTTGGTCCTCCTGCTCTCTGCCGGTGGCACACAACAGTTTAGGCTGCTGCGGGCTGTAATGCTTTGGTCTGATCTTCAGTTGCTGGGTTTGGTGTGTGCAGGTGCCGGGTGGGGTTTAGTGGCCTGTGAAGTATAAGGACCTGGTGGTTCTCCTGGCGTTACACCATGAAATTGAGCCATCAATTCTATCGTTGATTATGTACAAGCCAGGAGCGAGTGCAGCTCACTTCCCTAACCACGCTGGCTGCTAGCAGGAGTGACTGCATCCTGTACACACGGACAGCAGATCTGTGGCGGGGGAAATGTGCAATGCTTATGAAGCAGAAAGGCCCTTTTACATTACCCCTACTCTCAAGGGGTCATCCCTTCAGGACGGGGTGAGGTGCTTTGGCTGGGGATAGCCCTGGCCAACTGTGGCTGGGGTTGTCTGAATGGGGAGAGTTCCGTGGCTAGACAGAGGCTAGAGGGACACCCAGATGGTAACCCCAAACTCCTCCTTAACAAGCAGCTCTGTTCCCACAAACACAAACCTTCGATGAAGTCTGAGGCTGCGTACATGGGATGGTTTGTGTTGCTGTCACTGTCCGGGCTGTTTAAAGTCTCCAGAGCCAGCTCAATCGCCTCCACCAGCTCGTCCCGCTTGTCCTTCCTCACAGGTTTCTCCTCGGGGTGGCGTGTCAGTCCCGTCTCCAACTGATACACCTTCTGCAGGGTGAAGCTCTCAAAGGGCACAGCCGCATACTCCGTGGGCAGCTTGGCGCCGGCGTGCACCTCAGCTCTGTCGATTTGGGAGCGCAAGAACTGCAGCAGGTCGGCGGGGGTTTTCTCTGGGTTGCTGTGCTCCAGCCCTGGGCCCAGCGAGTCCGTGTAGTGGTCCTGCAGGCTCTTCAACTGCTCGCTCCGTTCCTGCAGCTCATCCTTCAGCTGCGCAATTTGCTTTTTGAGGCTGTTGATGTAATTGCGGTGCTGCTCCTCCCGCTCCTGCAGAATGGCCTGATACCCCTCTTTTCCGGTGGGGCTGTTGGCCCAGGGGAACGCAAGCTGCTCATCAGTGCCCTTCGGCGTACAGGCCAGCATGTAGAGAACGGACACGGCAGAGCAAAGCACCAAAAGCAGAATGACCAGCCGAGGGAGCCAGGCACTCAGCCCTCGCCGAACCATCATCTTTCAGGGAGCAGGCGTGGGCACATCAGTATCTACATTGCCGGGCGTGTCCAAATAGCGCCGCTAAACAGATGCATGTATGTGCACAAGTGGGGATGGCAGCTTCCTTCTAAAGCGCATGCTCCACTCGGGTACCAGGTGCAGCCCCGCGTGTACTTGGCAGTGCGAAGAGCCCCTCTGCAAAGGAGAAGCTGTGAGCCGAGTGACACCTGCCATTCCCCACAGTCACTTCCACTGTCATCCTACCAGCTTGCTGAGGTTGGCAAAGGGTGACCTGAAAGGCAAGCGACAAAGACTAGTTACAGATCCCTACGCTACAGTCTGGGCAGTCAGGAGAAGGGACAAGGATTGTGAGTGTGCGCAGGAGCAGTGGCATTTCCTACTGTGCCTAGTAGAATGTCTAAGCAGTGCAGGATACTGCGATGTACTCTTCAGCTGTGGACAACGCTAACTCTGCGAGGGTGCTAAGGCGCTGGCCCTGCAAATCACGATTTCCCCTTCTTCCTCTGCAGCATGGAACATGGATTGTCTGAGCAGGTCTCACTTTTGGCTTTAAACTCTATGAAACTTCAAACATACCGAGTAGTCCAAGTTAGAGCACATTAGGAAGCTCTTCGTGCATATGAGCAGGGTCCACAAGGGCCAGTTAGCAGGCAACACCCTGGTGCTCTTTAGTAGTGCACCTCGTCATGCTGTGGAGACAAGCCACTGACTCTAGACAAGGTTGATCCTAACAGTCCATTAAATCTTGCAAATGCTTCAGGAAGCCTGCAGCTGCCATCTCCTAGCCAGTTTTTCAAAAGAGCACACATTCACATTTTCAAGTCTCCGGCACACACAAACGGCAGCAGATTTCCAAGCAAGCTTAGCTCAGCTCCCACACAGGTTCCTAATTAAGATTTTCCAAAGGGGCTCGGCACCTAACAGAACCCACAGGGACGTATGGCCAGATTTGATGTGCAGGGTACACAGCATTTTCAGTGGCATGGCTTGCAGCCCTAAATTCACTTTTGACCTTCTGTAGTGTCCAGAGGAAACTGTCCCGGCAGATAATGGAGGCATCGTTTGTTATTTTGTTCTTTAAAATTAACCCCCGGAAATGCCACATAAAAGGTTTTTTAAGAGAAGATTATGGATGGGACTTTCAAACTCACTCCGTGTAGGCCTAACTCTGCTGCTACTGAAGTATTTTGACATTGACATCCCTGGGAGCTGAGTGGAGAGCTACTGAAAATGCCACTCTACATTTGCCTGGTTAAGCTCTCAGAAGTCATGAAATCAAAGTTATCCTTAATCCTGCCCCCTTGCATACCTGCCTTGTGGTATGGTCTTTGGATACTTGTAGTTGCATCAGTCTAGCCACAAATATCTGCACAGTGACAGGCCCCTAGATAAACATATTTGACTCCTGAAACTCATACGACTGCTGGGGCATTTCCGGGTCTTGACCCAAAGCCAACTGCAAACAACGGGGTTCTTTCTGTGGATTCCAACACGTTTTGGATCAGGCCACTACATACAATGGAGAAGGGGCTAAGGAAGCAGAAGGTGTCTTTAAGGGACAATGAGTAAAAAGTAATGAGTAAGACTAAAGGGACCATTAGATCACCTAGTCTAACCTGTATATCACAGTCTACAAGCCATTATCTTCCATCCTCCGAGCCCTACATTAAACCCAAGGACTTTCGTTAGACTAAAATATTTCAGTCCCTGGGAAACTAAACTGTGTGCCACAAACAGAGAACAGGAGGGATCAAGGTGCCACCAAGGCCCAGGGTCCCTGAAACAGCAGGGAATGGCTTGGATAAGAGATGCCCAGAAGATGCCAGCAGATGATTCATGCCCCGTGTTACAGAGGAAGGAGGGAAACCTGGCCCCAAATGTTCCCCCAAGTCAGACTGACAGCAAGCTACACACCTTCTCTTAAATAATGGAGGAAAATGCTATGGGCTCAAGGTGACTTTCAGCAGGCTGCCTTTATGAATTGTTTGCTTGAGCCATCTCCCACCTTCTCATTCCTGACTAGAAGGCAGATGGGAAAGGAAGTTGTGAAATTGTCTTGCAAGCACAGCCACAAAGCAAATACACAAAAGCTACCCATAGTCTGAACCTTGGTTTTCCATCTCTCTGCTGTGCCTGATGCCTCAGATGAAACTGGCCTTTTAATTTTTATCAGTATTTAACAGCAGCAGGGTGTCACTTAGGGATGTGGGCTTGTTTGCGGGGAAGACTATAAAAACACAGCTCTATTTTTTTCAGTGACACTGAACTGCTGATAAAATATTTATAAGATTTCCCACAAAATGCCAGTGATTTCAGTGGAGAATTGTTGCAATAGACAAAAACATTCACAGCAGCAGGAAGAAAGTGCAGAGGGGAACTTGGGGATCAAACTGTCCTTGCATTTTCTCAATGCTCTTTTCTCAAGAGCTCACCCAGCTCCAGCTAATCCTTACTTGGCCACAATCATCTCTTCTTTAATTGACTTCCAATCACCCACCCTGATAATGCACATACTGTACAAGGTGCTGTCAACATGGTAACACCTCTTCATTCCTTTCACATTTGTCAACTGCCTACCTCTTCAATTTGCCTTTTGTTCTGTGGAAGGCGGTAACGCAGCTGCTTCTTACAGATGTGCCGTGAAAGCCAGTCTCCTGAAATGCAAGGGAGCTATTCAAGGCACAGAAATTAACTTGGGCATTTTTAACTCTCGAACGTATGTGGCCAAAGCACTGCAAGAAGGGATTGGGCAGTGAGGCGAGGGCAGGAAGTGGTAGGATGTAGTACATAAAACACTGCTGTGTGTGTATGCTTCACTTTGCACAATCAGCCCATTGACTACACTGGCCTGCACTGAACTTCAGTGAAAGGATTAGTTGTGCTAACAGAGCATAAACCGAAATTACATTTCCATGGCTTAGATAAACACACTGTTTTAGTTCTCAAAGAGGCATCAGCCTAGGGCTTTGGTTAAAGAGCTCTTCTAGTGTTGACCCTCCAATATGTATCCACAGCAGGCTCCTTGTCTGGGGGTTCCCCTCTTCCCCCATCCTCCTTTTTTGGACTTTTGAATCTTGTCAGACACCCATCTTTAAATAGTCTCCAAGGACACTATGTGGGTCTGGACTGCTTTATTTGCTGAACTGGCAATCCAATGGCAGGAGCCCTCAAGTTTAGAACAGGAGGAGGGGGGATCTCTAGGAACACAAGCCTGACAGCAGATTACAGAATATGCAAAGTCTTTAGCCAGGGACACAATCAGATGACTGACTGCAGGTACCAGGGCACCCGGGAATCTATTGGGGAACTAATAAAAGAAAGTTCTTCTTCACACAGTGTGTAGTCAACCTGTGGAACTCCTTGCCAGAGGAGGCTGTGAAGGCTAGGACTATAACAGAGTTTAAAGAGAAGCTAGATAATTTCATGGAAGTTAGGTCCATAAAAGGCTATTAGACAGAGGATAGAAATGGTGTCCCTGGCCTCTGTTTGTCAGAGGCTGGAGAGGGATTGCAGGAGACAAATCACTTGATTACTGTCTTCGGCCCACCCTCTCTGGGGCACCTGGTGCTGGCCACTGTCGGCAGACAGGCTACTGGGCTAGATGGACCTTTGGTCTGACCCAGTACGGACGTACTTATGTTCTTATGTAACTGTGACTCTCAGTAATGGGAGCAGCAATCTGTGCTGTATGCAGCGAACACACACACACACACACAGAATCCAGTCAGTAGCCTCTCTTCGCCATCCCTGCCATCATACCTCTGACTGCAGTGTAGACACCCCCTTAGACATGCAGGGCCAGATCCTTAGGTATACATAAGAGGCACTCCACTGATTTCACTGGCGCTATACAAATTTGCCTGTGTGTTTTGTGATGCTCAGTATCTAACTGCATTAAATACTTGTGATTCTGGCAGACCAGGTACCAGCTCCTGCCAAAGCACCAGGCCAATTTACTTGTGTGTTAGTATAGATCAAAGTGATTATTAAATGTTTAAGAGTGTATTTGGTGTTTAAACTTCAAGAAAAGTAATGGGATGTTACTGGCATTATTTTCATTTATCTGTATCCTGTTATAATGTAACAGAAACCATTTACCCTATACGTGTGTCACTGTAACTAAATAACTCACCAAAAGAGAAAGGAGCCTTGCGGAATGCAAATAGGGAATTTTAACAGAAAACTGCTAATTTCAAAGCAAGAGAGGATTAAAGGTCATAGACTCTAAATACATTCCTCACTCTCCATCATCAAAGGAAGAGCCCACAGACCCTATAAGTTTGTTTTGTGTAAGAAGCAAATAAAAGTGTAGATTCAAAGAAAGATGTTCCCTCTCTGGATTGTCTGGATTCTAACAGAAGACGACAGAGATCCCCAGAGATATACTGGGTTCACCTGAGAGACTTGTGGGGAAAATGGCAGCTTGCTACATCTCTGCTACCATTTGGAATTATGGATTGTGTACATATATTTTACCGGCTTTAACCTCTCAGTAATTCTCAATTTCTTATTATAGCCAATATGTAGCCTTTAGTTAGATTACTATAGATTTGGCTACCAGCATTTTTTTATTTAAGATTTAGGGTACAGACTGATCTGGGGTAAGTGGCTGGTTTCTTGAGACTGGGAGCAATCAAATACAGTGTGAGTTTTTGGTGTAAGTAGCCATTTTTCACACAGTGCAGTTTGTCTGGAGGGAAAGATAGCCCTGAGAATCTAAGGGGACAGTGAGATTCTGTGGTGAGACTGTGACAGTCATCCAGGTATTCCCTTTTGTTACTGGCTCGATGATATCTAATTATAGAGTATACAATTAGTTTGAGGGGTCTGCCCTGAAGTAGGCACTCCCAGTGATGAGCCCTTCTAGGCAGCGTGACAGTAGTATTAGTCAAGCAAGAAGCTCTAACGAAACCCCACTGATCGTGTTAGTCAATGAAAGTTTTGCTGCTTTAATTTAATTTAACCCAATTTGTGCAGGACCATGTTCCTTGTCACTCTGTGCAGTTAGCCTAGCTCTGGAAGAGGTTGCTTAAGCACAGTTTACTGGGTGTTTTTCACACACTTAGCATGCCACACACAAAGCAGTGGACAGCACTGCTCTGAGCATAGGGCCAGATGTGGTCACCCTCTCCCATGTGAGTAGGGCCTTATAGTGTGAATAGCCTCACTATAATCAAGGGGTCTGTTAGTGGCTCAGTGGTGGAATCTGAGCCACATTGTTTGCATGGAATTCTGGGTAAGAAAGAGCCCCACACTGCTCTCTTCCAGCATTTGGCACTTCAGAAGCCATTCAAATGACATAGAGCCTCATGGCAAAAGCTCTGCTATGGGCCAGAGTGGGCAGCCCCAGGCTTGCTGTCCCCAGACAGTGGAGGAACCTTCTGCATGGCTGTATGGGCCCAGAGGGGTGTCCTAGAATGGAAACGGGAGGACAGCTTGACTTCCTTCCCTCCACAGAAAGCAGGATTCCCATTCTGAACGGGACTTACTGCTAGAGGGGACAGCTAGGTCTCAGGAGCACGGAACAGAGACCACGGCAGCTCCAAGGAGGGCCAGAGGACCACACCGACGTGAAAACACGCTGGGGGCTGCAGGGTTCTACATGGTTTTCTCAGCAGATATACTGAGACTGGCCACTGTCTCTCTTCCCCCCACTCTCCATTACAGCCCAAACTCCTTTCCCAGGAGAGTCAGATATACCTTTAATACCACAAGTTCAGGACACACATGCCCTTCAGTGAACAGGATCCTCTCAGGTTAAACTGTGAGCTCTTCGGGGAAGAGACCTCCCTCTCATTATGGTGCACAGCCCCTGGTACCAAGGGGCCCCCGACTGCACACTCTGGGCACTACTGCAATATAAATAAATGATACTAATTTATCACAAGATCTAGTGTTATCACTGTTAAGCTGTCACGTCAGCCCAGAGGAAAATGCTGCCAGTGAAACTGTAGCTGTTCCACTGAAGATCCAATGACATACTGAATGCTATCTGCAGGGCAGGGCAGGCTCCCAGCCCCTGGGACACATGACTGCCTCACATGCCACAGCTCCTAGGCCCTGGCTGCTCCACCACTGCTCCAAGTGACTGCTGCTAGTCTCTCGCTTATCCCCCCTAAAGCATCTCAAACCCTGGTACAAGGGCTGAGAATGACAGACGCTGTGATTAATCTGGGTGCATGGAGAGGCCACAGAGAAATCTGAAAGACCTCTACTGATGATGAACAGCATATGGCAGTATCTGAATACAAAGATCAGAAAGGAAGGGTTAATGCCCCCAGTTCATGTCACTCAGCCATACCTGCACTGTACCTGGCCTGGAGCAACTGGCATTTTGCTTGAACTGGTAAAATATTCTAACAAAGTGTAACAGTTCAGTGCACAGTGCCCATATGAAAAATGGCGCCAGTGGGGTTACTTACGGAGTGAGGTGCCACCCACTATGAGTAAGAGGTCCAGCATCTGACCCTCTGAGAGCTAATAACGTGAACATACTTTCACTGGGTGAGAAAACCTGAAAATCTTCACAGACTTCTCCTAACCGGCTGGATTTCCCCCCAGGTCTCTGCCAAGGGAGTCCTGTCTTTCTTGTCTGCCTGGTCTAAATTATCTATCCAGAGGTGAGGGGTAGGAATTTAAATGGAAGTCAGGGGAAAGAAGGCATCTCCCTTTGATAAATGTAGCGTACCTCTATGCTCTTCCTTCAGACCCCTCCTTAGAGAATGACTCCTGGGATATGAATCCCTTTATTTATAATATCTATGCAGCTTCTCCTTCTTGAACTGTTTCCCCATGAATCCTATTTGTTCGAGTTACCGTGCAAGCACTTTGGCACAGGGATAGCTCCTTAGCTAGCGTAAATCAGCATGGTTTCACTGACATCAGCACACTACTTTAAATCAGCTGAGGATCCAGCCCTTTCTCCTAGTGCATGATCTATAAAAGCTCCATCTGCATTTATGAAACTATACAAGTAATATTGTTAGTTTGTGTAACATGAACATGCAACACAGAACACTTGCTATCACAGTGTAAAATGAAAGTGCCTCCACACATTTTAAAAGGGTTGTTCCAGCTTCTCTATTTTTTTGGCTGACTTCAGGCAATTCTTAATTAAAAAAAAAAAATGTTCTATCCCATATTTCATTTTCTGAGATGTTTATCCCTGTAGCAATAATTGCTCTATTCACCAAGCAGTAGGACATGTTAGATAAGAAGTACAAAGTTACTAAACTAAACCATGCACAAGAATACTGATCTTTTAGTGACATGCAGCCCTGATCACCTGGACACTCCAAACTTTACCACAACTTGGTTTGGAATCAATAGAGCATTGAAATACAAATAAAGGCTAGTCATGAAATTTAACTGTCCCAAATCGAAGTATAAAATAGCACATACCATGCCCTTGGAGAAGAAAGAAAAAAAAAGGAAAAAAACCCTTACCGTATAGTCATCTTAATGTTTGGAGTCAGAATTCTTCACCAAAAGCAAACTACGCACTGCCCTTCATACCCCCAAGGAGAAACAGAAGTCATTGCTTGTGTGTGTGTGTTAAAATACTCTGTAATTGACTCCTCCCACAGAGAGACAATTACTTTGTTTTCTGCCTATAAGTTAACAGTTAAGGTCAGGTCTTTTCCTCCCAAATAAA